TTTCGCCTCCATCTAGATGTGACTGCCGCGGCTACAATTGAACCCGCGGCATTCGGGTCAGCAGCGGAGCACCCTACAGCGACTGGTCCACCGAGGTGGTCGCAAAACGAGGGCCGATTAGTGAATAGCATCTCGAGGCTATTAAAAATTAATAATAATAATAATAACTACAAGCTGAGAAAATGTTGGCATTTTATTTTATTTTTTTCAGCTTTCATTCATTACACTGATTTTGAAAGAGCAGTGCTAAGACAGAGGGAAAAGAAAGACATAAAGTGAAAGAGCGCTGTCTTTCTTTTCCCTTTGTCTGTGTGCCTCTCTTTCAAACTGATATGAAGCAGCTAGCCCAAACCAAAGTACTCCTCATTCATGCTACACAACAGAACACACGAATTGCACATGCCAAGTAGAATAATCTCACGTGGAATGCTCTTAACGGAAACCGTTCAAAATGCAGGATATAATCAGAAGGCGGGACATTTTTCATGTATTTTTCTAGATATAGCTAGCATTTAACGAAGTTCTGATGAAGAGTGTATAGTGTGCAACGTCAGCCTACCAATGTCAACATAAAGGAGTGACGTAAAAGCAGTACCATTCCTTGCTGTACGTCACTCCCTAGATCATGGGGCACACGCCCGCGAGAAGGGAAAGTGGCATTCATTAGAAATTGAGAAAGACATGTAATTTTGCAAATCTTCACAGGAATGATCCGGAGTGCCCAGTGCATCGTAAGGCTTGTCAGCTCGAAATGCCCAAACCCAGTGAGGGGCTTTTTAATGTGTTCACCGATGGAGGAGAAATTGGTCCTACGCGATTTGACCTAGCAACCCTCTCTTCTAGGGTATGAGTGGTCTGGTTATTTGCTACTGCACTGCCCTTCCCAGCCACAACGAAGCAAGAAAAACCCAGGAGAGTGTTAATTGAATGGTGGACACTTGACCCACAATGCTAGACGATAAAACGAAAGACCACATACTGGGAATCACGCGGAAAATGCATGCCAATGTTCAATCGTTAGTACCTTTCTGCTCTCTTAAACAGTATCATTTTTTTTGTTTCTTGCCGCAGATACAAGCCACCGACGTCGTTGTTTTGGGATATTTAAACTTTTGTAGAAGTTTATTGTGCCTATAATTATGATTTTGAGGGCCTGAAATGGTATTTTACCTGCTTGTCTTTGGTGCCTAAAACACACTTTTTGTGCCTAAAAATTCGGCCTCTACTAATGACATTAACACCCCCTGTGTGACAAGGTATTAGTAATTTAAATATACTAATGACATAAAACATGAAACAATATCAACATTACAAAAATGTAAATACTGACAAAATACAAACTACCGTATTTACTCGCATAATCGGCGCACTCACATAATAGGCGCATTCCTAGTTTGGTCACGGAAAATTCGATTTTTTTTTTATTTATTTATTAATACTGTAACCCTCACTTGAGGGTCATTACAGGGAGGAATATAAACACAAAACAAAAACAATACACAATGACAAAACAGACATTACGTTTCATGTTGCCGGTAGTACAATTCTAGCGAACACTCAAACTCTTTGACATTTGCGCTAGTAACAGCGTACTCTGGAAGTCTATTCCACACTTCTATACTATACGGAAAAAAAGAATTTTTAAAGCCATCCAGACGCGCCCAAAAAGGCCTTATTGGGTGACTATGGTTCAACCGAGCTCCTCGTTTGGGTGCAGGTTGTATGTATGTGTCTTTATTTATTTTGATTTCGCCTCTTATAATTTGAAACAGGAGTTTTAACCTTTGCTTTTCGCGGCGCACTTGCAGGGGTTCTAGCGCACATGATTTTAACAAATTTGTGACGGATTCTGTCCTCCGGTATCGCGAGCAAATGAAGCGCACTGCTAGCCTTTGAATTTTTTCTATTTTATCTCTCAGTGACTGCTGATGAGGACTCCATACAGAAGACGCATACTCCAAAATAGGGCGAACAAATGTCTTATATGAAAGTAATTTGACATCTCTTTTTAATTCTGCACATAATAGGTGCACCCCGAACTTGGCCATGATCAGAAACGATTGATTGATATGTGCTGTTTAATGTCCCAAAACCACCACATGATTATGAGAGACACTGTAGTGGAGGGCTCGGGAAATTTCGACCACCTGGGGTTCTTTAACGTGCACCTAAATCTGAGCACACGGGTCTACAGCATTTCCACCTCCATCGTAAATGCAGCCGCTGCAGCCATGATTCAATCCCGCAACCTGCGGATCAGCAGCCACTAGACAACCGTGGCGGGGCGATCAGAGACAATTCTACCCCCCAGCGGTACAGTTGGAACGCGATACCCGTACCCTAAAGAAAAAAATAAGGCAAAATAAAAAAGATTCAAAATGTGACTGCCTAACAAACATGTTTTTTTTAATGAAACTTGAAGAAAAAAAAGCGTCCATGAGCGAAAAAAAACTAAACGGCTGTTCCATCAATTACTGATGACCCCCAAATCACCACACTCTTTGGAGGTCACATGTACAATGCCAGGGGCTCGCTCGCCATCACCACCATCAAAGAAAGAAAAAAATGCCATTTTGCAAGTGGTGCGCGTATGTTGTGGTCATGTATTCAAGTTTGGTTTCACCATGGGGAAGTACACAAGCTACACAACTGGCTTTAAACTTAAGGCAGTGCATTACGCGCTGGAGCACGGCAACCGGGCTGCAAGCAGGCATTTCGGTGTCGGAGAAACCAGTATTCGGTACAGGAGGGTTCAAGAAGAAAAACTTAAGGAAAAAACACGATGGGCTTTTCGTGGTGCCAAGACCGGCAGGTATCCAAATGTCGAAGAGCAACTGGTGCATGGAGCAACTGGTCGAGGAGAAAGGTGCATGGAGCGTCATCGTCAGAACGTCTGGCGCTGATAAAACACGATGCACCGCAATGCTGGCGGTGACAGTGATTGGGTGCAAGCTTACATTATTTTTAAACTCAAGACACTCCCAAAGGCAAATTTCCCTCAAGGCATTTACGTCAGAGTCTAAGAAAAGGGCTGGATGAGCGTGGAACTCATGGTGGATTGGGTGAAAACAGTCTGTTGTTCCCGTCCATGCTTGTCCTGGACAGTTTTCGTGGGCACCTAGTAGACCACGTACGAGATGAGCTAAAGGAGCTGCGCACAGATCTGGCAGTGATTCCGGGTGGCCTCACATTGATACTGCAGCCTGTGGACATGTCCTTGAATAAACCTTTCATGGACAATGTTTGAAGGCTGTACACCACCTGGATGGCTGGAGGACAACATCAGCTGATTCCAGGTGGTAAGATTAAGAGGCCACCTGTGGAAATGCTGTGCGCTTGGATCGTAGAAGCATGGTAGGCGATCTCCATCGAAGTCGTCAGTAAAAGCTTCAAGAAGACGGGTACCTCGAATGCACTGGATGCGATTGAGGATGACATGTTGTGGGGTGCGGATGATTCAGACACCGAAAACGAATCCCCGCGTGACGAAGATGAATGTGTGCTCTACGACTCGGACTCCGAATAGGAAAAAAAAGGAACACCTACTACTTTTCTGTAAATTTTACTTGTGTGTGTGCAGTTGACGGCTCTCGCTTGTTCATTAAAAGGTACATAGGTATATTTGTTTAATGCTAAATTATTGGAAACAATAAAGTTGCCTTTTACTTGACAAATGTGCAGATTTAAAGCACAAGAACAGAGTCGAAAAAATTTTTGAAAATTTCATCCCGCGTAATTGGCACACCCCTAACTTCGAGCTGGATTTTCTGAAAAAAAAAAAAAAAAGTGCACCTATTACCCGAGTAAATACGGTACCCTAACAAACAAAGCTTTCTAATGAACTTCTTAGTGATATGTCATCTAGGCATAAATTAATGTACCACTCTCAATCAAGGTAAATTAAAATATCATTAGAAGCTACTTATTGTGTAACCTCTTGCATACCTCACCACACAGTTTACTATCAGTGTCCCTTCTACCTTTAAAGAACCACTCACCAGGCCCCATACTAAGTTTTAGTTAGACAGTGGAAGTTGTTGGGTGTCCGATGAGGAACATTTTACCACAAAAAACTTTTTGAATCAGTTCATCACGAGCGGAGAAAACGGGTTTTTTGAAGTGGCGCGAAACGAGGATGAGAGGAGGCGAGCTTGAAACTTTTGCCGCTCCTCCGCAGCCTTCGCAAGCCAAATCTCTTCTCCACTCTCTTAAGCATCTGACCAAGAGGTCACGTGCGGATGACATGCCCGAGCAAGTCCAACCCTCGAGCACGCGAGCGGTGTTGCTTTGTTGACCAGCATTATTTTGTGGTCTTCTGCCTGTTTCTGCGGCATGGTTTGCAAACGCTGGCTTAGGCGCGGTAGAATATATGAGCACAATGAGTGCGCGAACGCGTAGGGGCGTTCCACAGCGGTTGCCTGCTCGATGCGTTGACCGCGGATACACGAACACATGCGAAATACCGACACATTAGCCCCGCATCTCGTTGCAATTCACTAGAGAAAAATGGAAAAAAGACACTCACATTTCCTTATTGCATCTAATTATTTATCTAGAGCTTTATTAATCTCTTCAAGTAACAAATTACATAAACTACGCATGCCGTGTTAAATAATTTTCGCCATGTCACGTGCCACTGTTTGCAACGTCAGAGCAGAGTCGTCTATGTAGAAGACCAACGTCACTGCATTGCCGTGTGCGTAGGTCCATTCATATGCGCACGTCATGCCCTCATTTTCTGGCGCGTGCTGGCAGAAGGGAGGGGGAGCATCTTGAAATTTGACCCATTTCCGCGGCACGTAGCGTTGCAAATTTTGGCAGACGTGATCATGAACGCCTCGTCTACGCATTGCGCTTGTCAGCTCAAAATTGTCAAACCTGGCGAGTGGCTCTTTAAAACTTAAACAAAGACAGCACAATATTCTGCTTACTAGTTATGTTTTCTACAGCTTATCTCACCATGAACCCAATGCAATGCTTCATATTTGTGTGAATCCTACCAGCTTTCCTTTGAAGAGTGACAGGAGGCCAGACACGTTGCTGCAGGGCTTCGGGACATGGTTAAGATGTACCATCTCAAAGTGTGTAGTCAATCCACTCCCAACACATACGCCAAAGCACAGTCGCTCTTGAGGGTGATGGACCTGCACAAACGCTGGCAGTGGACTGCCAATCGTTCCCTCAAAAGACCGCTCTACCGACCACTGCAATCCCTAGAGATAATCCAACGTGCGTGCAACTTCACAACTGAACAAGGAACATCTTTATTACATCACTGGCTAAGATTACCACACAACAACCAATAGTCAAAAGTGAATGAAGATCACACCATATACAATAGCAAGCAGCTAGCGTTGCATTTTTTTTTTTTTACAGCCAGCCATAGATGGAGCTAAAAAGAGAAGGAGCTCACACAGACTCAAAAAATATATCTTATGCTTAAAGGTCACTCAGACTTGGACTCAGCAAAATTTCTCTCAGACTCAATCTCATCAGAATAGTATTACTCAGCCAGACTCACTCATACTAAGAATCATGGCTTGATCTGGGTCTGAATAAGTATAAGTGAGTCAACTCATCAATCAGTTTGCCGACTAAAGCAGCTAGCACATGTGATCCTTGAATGCTGCAATAAGCAAACCTTGCCCCTTCATCACTCATCCTCGAATGCTGATTTTTAGGTGCCCTTAATTCATGTTTGCAATAGTTAATTTTCTATCTCTCTTCTATTTTTCATTTTTCCAGTTCATCCACATTTTTTTTTTATTATATAGCTCGCTTTGTTTATTTTGTATATTCCCTTTTTGCATTGGGTAAGTGTACATCGTTTGATTCATGTGTCTGTTCCCTTATGTAATATTCCCTTGGGGATCCTTAGGGGCATTATGAAATAAATAAATAATGCCTTCAATAAAAAGAAAGAAACCTTTTGCCATTCCTTTAGTGCTGAGGCTTTTTTTTGTGATAGGTTATACTTAGTGGAGGCACCGGTGCCTTAAAGAAAAAAATCATTGCCAATCTTAAATTGTGGGTTATAAAAACCAAGAGGCTATGAGAAAGGCAATAGTGGGACGGGGAAGGATGTTTCAGAATAATGTTGACAAGCTGAGATTCCTGAATGTGCATCTAAATTTAATTTAGACAATGTTTTTACACTACACAACCATCAAAGTGCAGCTGCTATAACTGTAATTTGACCCCATGACCTCTTGCTAAGAAGCAGCATATAATGGCCACAGGCCACTGTGGTGTTCTACACAAAAAGCCGCTGGCACTTCTTCTCGAGAAAGGCACACTATAGACAAAAGTCAGCATCACACACATAAATGTCTCATGCCAAATGCACTAATGTTCCAGGAGCCAAAAGAATTTATGATTGCAAAAAAACAAAAACATTTACCATGACTTAACCTAACAAAGTAGCTTTTTTTGTTTCAATTAAAAATATAATGCCTCAACAGTCGCTGACCACACAAAATGACTCAAGTTAATCATCCGATCTGGAACACAAAATGCCACTACTGGAAATGTGCTGCAAAGCGAAGTTGAAGAGTGAAGAAAAGGATTGAGCCAGTACGTGTAGCAAGAACATGACGTGGTTCAAGCAAATTGGTGAACACAGAAAAGGAATACTGCTTGCAGATGCTAGCCGAGGCAAAGAGGAACAGTAAATTTGTTGACTTGACATGGTGGCATGGCCACAAGGCAATAATTCTATATCTCCAAACTTCTCTAATAACGTACCAGTTTTAAACTTTATTCAGAATATTCCTCGGACACAACCTCACTATGTCCAGTGTACTAGAATCAAACTTGCATATATCAAACCCACATAGAATTAATCATTTATCAAACAGTTGTAATATCCTTTTAAATATACTTTCAATATATAAAGTATTTTAAACATCAAATTACCGAAATATATAAAACTATTTTATGATCACCTTCACATTCGATACTTCAGGGCTGACTGTATAAGCAAAATTTGCAACAATGCCTGAATAGAAGGCATTTTAAAATAAGTGGTAAACCAAGTGAAGGAATTTTCTTATAGGGAGGATCTACTAGACAGGCAAACATTTCAACCCAAGACCTGTTGTTATTGGTCATGTCAGCAGAAAAAAAGGTTTGCGTCGAGCAGCCAAAAATGATACTGCATGCTTCAATCCACACATGACAAAACAAAGACTTTTGGACACGTTAAAGCACTGAACGCCCCATGTCTTCTATGGCAAATGCAAAGAAAGGGATTCACTCAAGCGGTCACATGTGTCTGACCTTTTGATTATTATAAAATATTCTCTTCTTTAACACGCAGTGAATGTGGGAAAGCAGGCAAAGTTCTGACCCAGAAAGGCATCAGTTCAATTACTATGCTGCTGGAAGACTATAAATCACAACTAAGCACCAATTGCGCACACTTCAGCTGACAATTTTTTCCTTCTTCTCAGCAACTGTGTTCCTGAAAAGGCGTAAGTGCAATGCAGCTTGTTCATGGAAGAGTTGTCACCTTCATTTTTTGTTTATGAGCAAGCTTTTGGAGCTGAAAACATTTTAAATAACACTGAAAACAAATGTTTCCTCCTCCTCCTCCTTGTCGTCGTCGTTTGTTGATGTTGTTGTTGAACACCTTCTCCCAACTTTTCAAAGCTTTTCTTCTGACTTAGCTAGCCAAGCTGCAGGTCACCAGTATAATACTACTCCTTGAACTGAGGAAGCTCTCGTAACAATGTGAGCATGGCTGAAAATGTAACTGATGTTTAATTATAATCAATGCAACAGTGTGAAATTTTTCTGCATACCACTTTGCTCATTATTCTATCATAAAAACTAAACAGCACTGGATGACAATAAAAATCAAAACAAATGTAAAAAACCAAGAAACTTACCACTTAGAATTATTTAGAGCTACAGAAACAGAGCTGACAAGAAGTTTCGTTCTATCTTCACTTGAGATAGCTTCTTCTTCACTGCTTGGTGCTATAACTAAAAAGTCTCGCAAGCCAAACCTAGAAGAAACAATATTTGTAATTTAATGTAGCATGCTTAAAGTTCTTGCCCTATCATTTGTATGGTTACACACATATCTTACGTTATATGTGTCTACATGAACAAGGATGGTTGCTTGCTTGCAAAATTTAAACACATAACCTCTAAAGGCCGTGTACTATCGTGAGCAATATGAGGTCGAACACGCGAACGCTTGTCCAATAGCCTCGAACCCTACAGCGGCTGATTTGCAGCGGCCGCTGCGGGAAACAAAGTGGAAAAGGCGGCGCGCTAACGCTAGCTGTTGACACTTCCTCTTCAATATCGTTGCTTCAAAACGCAGCTTACAGCAGGTCAGGTGCTAGTGGCTGCTGTCGGGGATATGAATTCACTTCAACGCGCTCATCCACAACCAGTTGACCTAGCAGGCTATGAAAATACAAACATCAACGGCGACGTAGCCAGACATGATGCACAGGCCGTGCTTTTATTACATCTAGATGGTGTTAGCTGAGAATTTTGACACGCATCCTTGCTTTTGGTGAATGTTTCTTTCGTGTTATCATTGCTAGCGGCCGAAGGCACGCGATAAACTGCCGTTTAACAGCAACGATCACGCGGGTATGGTGATGCGAGAGTGCCAACAGTCAGCGTAAGAGCGCCCTCCTTTCCCCTCGAGTTTCGGCAGCGCCATCCTCATATCACGTTATCTGTATTTTGAGGCTCTTGGCCACACACTCGTGCGTTTGAACTCATATTGCTAACGATAGTACATTGCAAAGCAAGGCGAAAACTACACATCTACATGGTACAGACATTCACTCTGTGCAAAAGCTATTATGCTAAATATGTAATGTAACCAACCCATTCATATCTAAAAACATTGATTAAGGTTACTTTACTTGTTTATTCTGTGTGTTTGACTATTTGAAACCATTTCAAAGTGCTTATATTCCCTGGAAATCCCATGCAAATTCTCAATCTTCGACAATTATTCAACAACAAAAAAAGCAGCCTGGCTTATTTTATTTAGTTTATCAGTAAAAAAAAACTTGAAAGTTGACATCAATTTGTAAATGCCCTCTTAAAGAAGAAGCCACACTGCTCCTTTTTTTTTTTTTCATATAAAACTGGATGTGACTGATTAAAGTTACACAAAAAATATTTAGCAGTCTCCATTTGTCAAAAAGTGAAAACCAAGTCAGACTCATTCATCCTTAGTTACCTTCAGTAGCAGCACAGCTAACATCAATGATGTAGCAAGCACCTTATTGAAAAAACATGGACAAACTATATATGTTCGAAAAATAAGTATATCAGTGGACTCCTCATGGGGAGACAGGAGTCAAAAAACACAATCTTTTTCTAAAATAATATATTTACATTTTTGTTTGCTTTGACAATTATAGTTACTCTGCTTTCACAAAAAAAAAACTGAAGATGGTAATTTAAACTTGAATTAGGTTAAAAACACTTTTAAAGAGCACAATGTGGTTACTAAAACTAAAAAGAGCTCATTGTCTAGAATCCCCTTGAAATTGTCACTTGGTCGCTTGCCACAACATTTCACATGAGAAGTTCACTAAAGCCACACACTCAAAATAACAATGATTTTCAAGCTCTTATAATGGAAGAAATCATTTTAAAAATATATCTTTTCTACATAGATGAGCTTTGACTTATACAGTAAAACCTCATTATTTTTGAAGTCACTCGGACTGTGAGAAATCTTTGAATTAAGCGGGTTTTCGAATTAACAGAACATATAAAATATGGAATGCAAGGAACTTGAAATTATTCAAATTAATCAGGGCTGGTCATTTGCTGTGTCGGCTAGTTTGTTGGTCTAAAGGTCATGTTTTCCAGCAATACCTGGTCACAGTTTTGCCACAAACAAGGGGGGAATTCCGGGCCTAACTGCTGTCACCGAATAAAAAAAAAAACGCGACCATCTGAAGTTTGTGCTTACGAAAAACAAGACATCTTCACTGCAACACAGTAGTGACACGCGGGCAGCATGTTGCCTGCTCCTCGCTCATTATGCGTCAGCACATAATGATGCGACCATTCACCCATTTTTTCTGGTAGAATAAATAATTTAATAATGGACAGTGTGACAAAATTCGTAATGGGTTCTGGCTGGAAAACATCACCACTGAAGCCTTTGACCCGAGTTTTCAAAGTAGGTGTTGCAGGCAAGAACTCCGCCAGCTGTGCCAGTGTGCGAACGGCTGGAGCAATCAGCACTCGCAGGTTCGCTTACATCGCGGTTTTCTCCAGGTTGTCCTTTATTAATTTCTTTAAATTCCCAGAAAGAATGGATAAATCGTCAGGTGCTGACGTTGCGAGAAGCATGCGACAAGCTGCCCGCACATTACTGCTGTATTGCAATGAAGCATATCATCTTCTTTTCCACAGGCGCATATTTTAGTTGATCACGAGACAGTTATTTTTCATATATAATTTTATTTATTGTGCTGGAAGTAGCGAGCAGGGGTGCTTCAGCTACCACTCATTAGTCTCGCTAAAGTACATTGCCTAGTGGCTCTTAAGGTGCGTCGTTTCCGCGGATTTGCGGCGAAATTAGGATCAGGTATAGGCACACTGCACCCAAAGTTTTCGAATTAAGTAGACTTGTGCTGACCACCGCTTCAAATTGATTGATTGATTGATTGATATGTGGGGTTTAACGTTCCAAAACCACTATATGATTATGAGAGACGCCGTAGTGGAGGGCTCCGGAAATTTAGACCACCTGGGGTTCTTTAACGTGCACCCACACCGCTTCAAATTATCCGCTCAAACTTACATAGCAAAATACGGGACCGCGGAAATACTTTGAATTAAATGGGATTTTGAAATAACCAAGTTCAAGTTAACGAGGTTTTACTGTACTTCTAGAATGTATTTTCCTTAAGATCCATTTTTGGGAAATTTCTTCAGTTTGAAGACTAGGTTTTTAGTACTTCTGATAGCTTAATCAGGATGAAATTTCGCCCACATATGCCTTAACATGTGGAGAATAAAAGTATCTCCTTTAAAACTTGTTATCACCCGTATATTTATTATGAACCCGAAACAAAGAATTAGTATGGGCTGAGTATTCTAAGAATGCTAACATTACAATATTTCTTGTCCATCAAAATGTTTTATATGTACTTTCTTGATGATTATTGACATTTCACAGTTAATATAGAGCAATATGAGCTAATAATGGCTCAATACCATACAAAACCAAATATACGTTACACATCATCATGGAATAAAACTAAAACTGTGCAACTTACTATAAAACTAATTACACACTTGAAATCAGCATAAAAGCCCATATATACATCGAAAATGTCATTGGTTTAGGCTACAAATAAACACAACTTTTTTTTTTTTTCAAATCCCATCTTTCCTTGAAGAAAACCCTGTAATAATAGCCATGTCAGTTAATTATTTAAAGTAACACCTAACTACATATTTGCTGTCCCTTGCTTAATGCTGAGGTTATGTGTATGTAAAGATAGCATGATGTACAAATGTTTGTGAAATTTGGCAACTTCTTGACTCAATTTGCCTGTACTGATTATTTCATATTTGAAAGATGCTTGTAATTCCAGACATCTATAAATAACTCTAAGGCAATTGATTAGGAAACTATGTTATTCAGCACCTAGTAATGCAATTTATATGGTTTCTTCTCTTTATGTTGCCATACAGCGATTGCACTCATTTTATATCAGATGGTGTTCACTTGGCCTAAAGGAGCCCTGTAACACTTTTTGAGCATGGTCCGAAAATGCTGCCAAATGTCAGTTGAGGCTCCCGAGAATCCGTGAGCGAGCCAAACATTATAGCACGGCACGTGGCCTAGAATTTACAATTAATTCTCAAAGTCAGCTAGAAATAGCTCCTCCCCCTCTCTACAAATGATGTCATATACCTAAAATTTCTGCGTCATATACGCACGCCCATTGCCAGAGTAACTGCACAATTACTCTGGCCACCACAAGATGCCGCCACATGCTTGTGCATGGACTCACAATCTCACTGAAAGTAAGCTGCACGTTCGGGAAATAAAAAAGAAAAAGTGCTCAAGGTCATTACACATGTTGACGCAGGGACGCATTTTCTCTCAGTAACTCGCCACAGTGGTGTAGTGGCTAAGGCACTCGGCTGCTGACCAGCAGGTTGCAAGATCAAATCCCAGCAGTGGTGGCCGCACTTTCAATAGAGGTGAAAATGCTTGAGACCCGTGTGCTTAGATTTAGGTGCACGTTGAAGAACCGTAGGTGGTCAAAATTTTCGGAGCCCTCTACTATTGCGCCTCTCATAATCATATGATGATTTTGTGATGTTAAACACCAACAATTATTATTAAGAATTTTTGCAGCATGCGATTCATAGAGACTCATGCACTAATAATGAGACTATTCCAGCGTAACAAAAAAATGTCGCAGGGCCCCTTTATAGTCCTTTAGCAACTGTTTTTATGTTGTCCAAATGAACTTTTGGCCTGACATGTAAAAAGACCATCAGCGACAAAAATGGTGAGACATAGTGAGGAAGGTAATGACGAGTGCATACCACGGGCTTTAAGAGCACACATTCACCTTTCATGGCCGCAGTACAAGGCCATCCTATCCATGCAATGCAGACAAAAGATAGTACTTCTGTACACACTAGTACTTATGAACTCACTCAGACAGCACAGACCATCAGATTGACTTGAAATATATTACTCATCTTGTGAGGTCTGAGGATGATGAGCCATGGTTTTTTTTTATTTTATCAGTATGTTACTATCAGGGATTAGATTCGGTTGAAAAGCTCGCTGTTGTAAAAGCAGTCAATAAATGTACACGTGTTTGTTAGCCAAACATCGAGGTTGGCTCTAAGTGTCCCAAGAGCTCGGCTGATCTCCAGACCCCGCACCGTGCAGTCCCTGAATTCACAGGAGCTCATTCACACAAAATAACAGGCATCCCAAGTAACAAGTAGGTCTAAGACGAGCAGCAGCAATCTTCGAGTTTGTGCCTTGCGGCCCACACACACGCTCATATTACAAAAGCATCCACGAGCGCTATACCACTACTCACTCAAGTTCATGCACATTTTCATATGCATTCTTGTTTACACATTCACTTAATCTCATAGTATTCACACTACCCTCATATTCAATTCAACCATTAATGTTATCTTACAGCTGCAGTGGCACTCACATTCATATTCCTCACACACATGTACTTATACCTATTCACGCCCAACAGCACCCAGCCTACCTTGTATTTGTGTGCACACTCCAACAGAAAATCATGTCTCCACACAGCTCCATCCAAGCACAAGCACTTTCCACTTTCACCAATCACATCTTTTGTAACACATTTGTATTGATGCCAGTGAAGTGAATATTAGTGCTTAGTATAAGAGTATGCTGACTTAGATCAACACTTCCTTTATTTTTTTTCAATGCCAGTGCAAACGTTCACTCCTCCATGGTAGCCATCAGTCCACCTTAGTTCAGGGAGTGGTCTTGATGTGATGCCACATAAAGGGTGCGGCTGCTTGTGTCACACCTGCGTCCGAGCGCTTTACCACAGAGATGCGATAAATGTGCTTTCCTTCTCCAATATCAGGTGTCTGTCAGATTTGTTTCTTCGTGCTATTTCTTTGTGCCTAAAGCAATGCTGCCGCCACCTCACAGCGCTCGTGTGGCACTTTTAAAGGCAGCGTATGTAGCAGCATCACAGTGACGTTTTCCCACTGGTTGCCCGCACAGCGCTACAAACAAAGACACGCTACCTCAAAACACCATGTCTCTTACAGGGACAGCACGACCACCAACACAGTGAACGCAAGGGATGCAAAACGCCACGCACGAATCTGTACACAACTGAACAAAAAGTTACTTCATATCATTTTTGTTGTGAGGCACCACCTAAAGGGTACTCTTCCCTATGCACACACGAAAGCTAGCCGATGGGGGAGAGTAGGAAAGGGCTAAAGGAGAGAGTATCGCCCGGCTGGATTGAGTGCATCTGGCTGGCCTAAAAAAACTAGAGGAGGCACTGATTAGACTATGCCACAGAAAAACCTTGACACAGATATAACAAATGTCCTCCATACCAAACAATGAATCTATAGACCTAAAGATAAAGTTAGTATTTCATTCAGAGAAACAGACCACCTCACTGCAGCCATTGTGCAATGATCGTAGGCTCATCTCCAACCAGTGGCAACGTTCCTTTTCTTACAATTTCATTTTTCTTACCCTTATTATTCCACCGTTTTGATAAAAAAAGGCATAGGCACATTTCACAATGCTTCACTTGTGAATTGGAATTATATGAAACCAGGTTTGTTAACATGCACTTAAACTCACTCAGACTAGCACAAGCTCCAGTTCAGTGGGACACGGTGAAACTCATTATGACTTTTACACGCCTCTACTCACTATATTATGACTCATACCTGCTTGTGCTCACTTCAACTATCGCTCATTCAAACACCTTAGGACATACTCTAACTCACTGAGATAAGACTCATGGGTCAGTGTGAGTTAATTCATGAGGACTTAGTGTCACTGAGTCTGACTGGAAACAGTTATGAATATGAGTGAGCACTGGGGACAATGACTGGATGCAAGTATAAATGTGAGTGACTACCTATAAATGTAGGCAGACATTAACGTAAATGTGAATGAATGCCTGTCATTATGAGCAGGAGTGATTCTCTATTAGTATAAGAGCCCGGAAGTATGAAGAATAATGAGACACAATGAATTTGAGTACACATGGGCATGAACATGAGTGCTGGTACAAGGAAGTGAGTAAAAAGCAAGTTAGTGCCAATGAGCATGAGTGAATGTGGGTATGAACATGAGCAGAAAAAGGGCAAATGGAAGTGAGCATAATCACGAAGGATTCTCAGTGCTTATTATTTGGTACAAATATGAAGTTTGAGCAAATGCTGATGAGATTGAGTGGCATGTTTATGAATGGGAGTGAGTGTCTATCTATACTACCAATCTATGCTTCTTACAGTGACCAAGACTGTAGAGCTTGAAAACAGCAGTCAATAAAAACAATTTGCCTAACACCAGTCACATCACCACCAACTTCTGCAAAATGCAACAAGTCAAAGGCTTTCTCTAGATTTCATATTCGTTCAAATGATTGTCGAAAAATTTGTTTTAGAAGAATAAAAATTAAAAACACAAGCAAGAAATGCACAAGGCAAGTCTAATAAACTCGGAAGCATGGCAAGAAAAGTTGCTCACCATCGAACCAAATAATGAGCCCTGGGTGGAAAATCATTGCCTAATGTCATCATATCTTCTAGGGCAAAGGGGGCTGGTTCATCTGAGATGTTTATCAAGGGGAAAGAAGAGACATCAATAAGTTATATACACAAAAATGTCTGAAAAGTTTAATCTTATACTTTTCCTTGAACACAGAATGCGAAATTATAGTAGAGCATGCTCACCACTTGAAGCAGGCAGCATTCTGTTGCACACAAAATAGCCAAGTGCTAAATCTTCAAAAAAAATTCTACAGTTACATTATAGGTATGGCCCTCATTTAAGGCCCTACCTAATGGCTCGGTACACGAACTCAGTGAGTGAGGCCAACAGAAATGTAAGCATTGAAGTCTTTCCACAGCAGTAAAAAGCAAGGTATGCTGAAAGATGTACGCTATTAAAGAATTTGTTAGGTGCTTTTATGTCTCTGCCATAAACCAGGCAAAAATGGCACAGCTCTTGCACTTGTTTAAACAGCCAGTAAACAACCCCAAGGTCCAAAAATTCTTGTAAAGAGAAGTATGTGCACTTTTACTTCGTGAACATTCTGCTGCAAGAATTTTGCGAATACGTATATTATGGAAGTTGCAGGGACAAGAACATCGCGTTCAGCTGGTTTCAAATTTTCACGCGGTCTCGCCACCCTTCTCCTTCAGAGGAAGGGGGAGGCGTGGCCCGTCGTCGTGACTCCGCCTACTTCGGCAATGTAACAAGACGTTGGGAGCAGACTGTTGCGCCATCTGGAAGCAGCAACACAAAACACAAATAATGCGCTTAATAGTGGGTGTGCTTATCAACAGGTGGAGCGACAATCTGCTCACTCCCAAAAACTGGGTCAGTGAAGTGTTCCAATTTCGATGCAAGGAGCTTCACAACTCGTATGATTGAATGGCTCTGTCATAGCTGTGGGTGAAAACAAAAACTGTCGTTGACTTCACTACTGTTTGTTGAGGCCTGGTTTAGACCAATCGACGAGCTGCGTGCTGCGTTACGACGCCGATAGCCGAGTTGTCGTCACTGCGCGTGCAAGGAGATTGGTCAGGCGTAGGAAAGGAGCACGAGAATTTTTTTTCGAAATGGAGGCTCTGCGCAACGTCTAGCTCTGTAATATTCGGAAAACGTGATCGCTGCGGTGTACTCTACGAGTTACCGAGCTTGTTTGGGGGGTGTAAAAAGAAAGTTGGAGCCTGTTGACTGGCCCTTGAAGGAAACTGCTTTTGAAGACAAAAAATCATTAAGAAAAGATCAACTGCTTGACAATCATATCTTGGTACAGGCACTGCCTTATGTGCATTCCAAGTTTCCTGTAGCATGCATCAATGTCTTGGCCACAATATCAATTTACATCAGCACCATGATTGACACTTTGTGAAAAATCACAAGAAACTAGCCTCTTTTAGAGACACACTTCTGCTTATCGTGAGATCAAATTCGAAAAATGCAAGTTTTCTTCTAAAATTCCACAATTTTTATTTTTTCACAATTTAGTTACTCTACTTTCGAAAAAAAAAAATGAAGATTGTAAGTGAACTCGAATTGGGTTAAAACTGCTTTTTAAAGAGCAAAAGGTGGCTACTAAAACTAAAAAGAGCTCATTGTCTTTGTCTAGAGTCCCCTGGAAATTGTCACCTAGCTGCTTGCCATTGCACTTTGCTTAAGGAGTTCACTAAAGCCACACGCTCAAAATAGCAATGATTGTCAAGCTCTTATGATGCAAGAAATCATTTTAAAAAAACATATCTTTTTTTATATAGATGAGCTTTGACTTATACCTTTCAAATTCATTTTTCTCAAGATCCATTTTTGGGCAACTTCTTCAGTTTGGACATCATGTTTCTGGCACTTCTGATAGCCAGATCAGAATAAAATTTTGACCACATATTCCTTACCATGTGAAGAGTGCAAGTATCTCCTTCAAAACTTTATATTGCCAGTATACCTTATTTACTCGCATAATTTGTGCACTTTTTTTTGCGATTTTGGGGCCCTGAGAAGGGGGTGCACAAATTACATGGAGATTTCTCGAGCGCATACAAAATATTGTGTCACAGTCTTAATGCACGCAGTATATATGTTAAAGAAAAAGAAATAAATTGGAGCCCAAACGAAGTTACATTTGAAAGAATAAGCGTACTTTAGCCAGTCAGATCCGGTCACGCGCGGTCTAGCGAGAATCAGTGATCACGAAGTCCGAGTGGGAATCATCGTCGCGGCCGCTGCCACCGCCTTTTCGAAGCGCATCGTCCTCGGTTCCGTCAAGTGAGTTCGAACGCCCTATTTTCTTGAAGCTCTATTGACATTGATGAGACAAACTAGGTCCCATGACATGGTGATACCAGAAGAACTAAGCATCCACACATTATTGAGAAGTCCTCCTTCAATGGTAGGAAACTTACAATAACAAGCGCATACTCTTCTGGTTTCTCGCGTACCGATTGCACTTGTCGTCACATTGAAGTAGGTTCCCTTGAAGTGCTTTCTGGTGGCACACTTTAAGTTTTCTTCGGTGAAATTTACAACAGCGATCTACAATTTCGCCATATATATAATTATTGTAGCACATCGCAAGGGAACCGTCAAAACTCATCGGCCGGATGGCGAAACCTAAACTTCCGAAATCGACCAGGCATGAGTTCCAGCGCGGACGCAGACAACGAAAGGAACTGTTGGCACAACAGGCCCTCGCACACCTCCGATGCAGAAAGTCGTCCGTGCCGTGATGCGAGCGTGCATTCTCACCATTTTGTGGCGGAAGAGATTGGGAGATAGGGGGAGGCAACACTCGAGCAGTTCCGACTACCCGTCAACAGGTATGTGTTTGGGTACGGTATTCTAGGGACCCTAGTTTGAGGGGAAGTCCTCGGAAGACAGGACTTCGCACTCGCAGCCCGTTTAACTGCTCACGTCTGTTTGGTGAGGTGCGCACTTAGCCAAAGCATCGAAATGTTCAAAGGTGCGCGCGCCCGTGAGCTGGCTCGGGCGGGTCGGGGAGCGCTAAATATGCGAGTAAATATCTTTTTTCGGAAAGCTGGCAAAATATTAGGGGTGTGCAAATTATGCGAGAGTGTAAATTATGCGTGTAAATATGGTAATTAATACGAACCTAAACCAAACAATTTGTATGGGCTAACTATTCCAAGAATTCTCATATTAGAATTTTTCTTATTCATTAAAATGTTTTATTCGCCCTTTCTTGATAGTTATTTGCATTCTACAGCTAATGTGGAGTAATATGAGACATTAAGTGGGCATGGCGGCAACGCCATGATACGGACTTCAAACCCGATCATGTTTTTCGTACAGGTTCTGCTTGGATTGCTGTTTGTCCCAGCGTGGCTATCACCGATGAACAACGCCCCTTCATCGCCAGCTATGTTCTCGGTAACCGATCAAGAAAAGCCGATGCCCGTGGTCTTTCATCGGCTAAACATCGTTCCCGGAGGAGCACAGATGACGTCATCGGATCCACCAGGGGCGTTAACGGATGCATTCGTCAACGGGACTATAAAACGGCTCTTCACCGCGGCACCTGACAGTGGGCATGGCGGCAACGCCATGATACGGACTTCAAACCCGATCATGTTTTTCGTACAGGTTCTGCTTGGATTGCTGTTTGTCCCAGCGTGGCTATCACCGATGAACAACGCCCCTTCATCGCCAGCTATGTTCTCGGTAACCGATCAAGAAAAGCCGATGCCCGTGGTCTTTCATCGGCTAAACATCGTTCCCGGAGGAGCACAGATGACGTCATCGGATCCACCAGGGGCGTTAACGGATGCATTCGTCAACGGGACTATAAAACGGCTCTTCACCGCGGCACCTGACAGTGGGCATGGCGGCAACGCCATGATACGGACTTCAAACCCGATCATGTTTTTCGTACAGGTTCTGCTTGGATTGCTGTTTGTCCCAGCGTGGCTATCACCGATGAACAACGCCCCTTCATCGCCAGCTATGTTCTCGGTAACCGATCAAGAAAAGCCGATGCCCGTGGTCTTTCATCGGCTAAACATCGTTCCCGGAGGAGCACAGATGACGTCATCGGATCCACCAGGGGCGTTAACGGATGCATTCGTCAACGGGACTATAAAACGGCTCTTCACCGCGGCACCTGACAGTGGGCATGGCGGCAACGCCATGATACGGACTTCAAACCCGATCATGTTTTTCGTACAGGTGAGCAAACGATACGGAAAGTGTCACCGTAGCAATAACGTTTGCTTATTCTTGCTGCCATGCCCATGGTCAATGTGCGAAATGCTTACTAACGTGACTGATTCTCTTCGCTACCTGTTGTTACTTAGTGGCGACGTAGAAACTAATCCAGGGCCTACAGAGGGCGATTGGTCAAAGCAACTAAAAGCAATCGCAGACGACATAAAGGAAATCAAGAAAGAAAAATCCGTCACAAATCAGAAACTAACTGCAATCGATAAGAAACTTGAAAAAATTAGTGGACTGGAAAAGCAGGTTTCCGATTGCGTAAAGCGAATAGTGGAACTAGAAAATAACATCAAAGGCATGAATAGGAAAATCGAAGAACTAGAGAACAGAAGTCGGAGGTCCAACCTGATTGTGTACGGAGTTGAGGAACAACAAAACGAGTCCTTTCAAGAGCTTCATAACCTCGTATCAAAGGAAATATTTGAAGATATACTAGACGTAAAGAGTGCAGGCATTGAACGTATCCACCGACTTGGTAGAACTAGAGAAGGCGATCCGAAAAACAGGCCAATAATTCTCAAGTTGCTCGATTATCGCGACAAAGTTAAAATACTCCAGTCCTGTTCCAAACTGAAAGGGAGCGGTTACTCAATAAGCGAGGATTACTCGTTTGGCGTGCGTGAAACTAGAAGAAAACTGTGGAAAATCACGAAAGAAAACCGCGATAGAGGGGAAAGGGTAAGGCTTATTTTTGACAAAGTTCAGATAAACGGTCGTCTTTTTACTTGGGACGAAGACAGTAAAAATATCGCACAAGTAAATAAAAAAAACGAAGAGCAACTACCAACGGCGCAGTCTTCTCGACGACAACGCCCATAACCCTTCTAAATGTAAACG